AGAGAGAGAGAGAGAAAGGCAGAGTAGGGGGTGGGGGGGCAGAGAGAGAAGGAGACACAGAATCCAAAACAGGCTCCAGGCTCTGAGATGTCAGTACAGAGCCCAGTGCGGGGCTCAAACTCATGAGCCATGAGATCAGGACCTGAGCCGAAGTCAGACGCTTAACCGACGGAGCCCCAACAGGACTAGAAGTTTAAAAGGAAACCTGGATCTCCTTGGCAGTGCAGGGGTGGGGCAGGCAGTCTGTGTCTCTGAAAAAGCCAGGGTGATAGGCGAGGTCTAGAGGTGGGATTCAGTGACATAATCTATCTTGACCCTTCCTGACTCCCAGGGACGCAGCCGATCTGGTGGTACAAGGCAGAGGGAAATTTGAGGAACTGATGGTGTGTTCGCATGAAATTGCTGCTAGCACAGCCCAGCTTGTGGCTGCGTCTAAGGTAGGAGCCGCACACGACGCCCCGGGGCTCTGTAAGGGCCGGCTAGATTAGAGACACTCGGATGATGGAGCCTGCCCCAAGAACAGAGGAATTATCCAGGGTCCACGTAGGTTGGGTCCCACATTAAAATTCTGCCTCTCAAGGGTCCCAAACTACCCTCCTCTGAGAGCCTGCCATCTGTCATCAAGGAGCCCCTGTGCCCAGCTTGTCACATGGGCTTCTCTTCTTGGCTTTCATCACTTTTGTTAGTAGTGGCCTTTGAGGGTCCCAGCCATGCCGACCTCTGATCGACAGTCTCGGCATTCAAGGAGCTCTTAGATAAGGAATATGTCAGCACAGTGGGCTGGTTACCTGGCCCGGCTCTGAGGTTCCACTACCGATGTCTGCCTCTCCTTAAGAGTCTCTGCATTTGAACCACTGCCCCATCTAAACGTGATACAAAGCTTGCTACCAAAATCTGTCTGTGAGTTATATAGTACCCCGGGGAGTGTTCTTATCGTCCTTACTTACCATCACCCCAAATTAGTTTCCATAACTAGGAAAGCTAGAGTCTGAGGCCACCAAATATGCCGGGGAGGTGACCCCAGAGACAGCGATTTTTAAGAAGTCAATTGGGGACCACAGCGGATACCATGTTTGTCAAGAACTGTCGGACCGACTATTTGATTCAGTCGTCACCACGTTGTGTGAACCTCAATCCGCTTGGTCCTGGCAGGTGAAAGCTGATAAGGACAGCCCAAACCTGGCCCAGCTGCAGCAGGCCTCTCGGGGAGTAAACCAGGCCACCGCCACTGTTGTGGCTTCGACCATTTCTGGCAAATCACAGATCGAGGAGACAGGTAGCCTTCCAGAAGCAATGCTTTCCTTACCTGTCTGGTTCAGCTATTTTTATGTTCTTTTTCATGACCCCGATGTCCCACAATTCTGTTTCCAAATTCTGTATTGTTCATCGTTCTCCACACATATATTCTCGTAAGATGGGACACCGCATAAGCATGCTATTTGTATCTCCATGGCAACAGACCTTAAGGTGGATTTTCCATTTAGTAATTTCTCTGGATTCAAAGACATGAGTCTCCAGGCCTGGCTGTCCCGGGGGGTGAGGGGAGGGGTGGGGAGGTTCCGACCCTCGTTACCCTTTCACGGCACTTCTGTCCCGTCCATCCATCAGTGACTTTCAAGTGTCTGGTGGGAACTAGCAAACCAAGCCTTTTAGCAGAGCGCTGACATTGGCCGCCTCTCGGGCGAGAGTCAGCCATGGGCATTCTCTGACAAGACCTTCTCTCTTATCCTTGCAGACAACATGGACTTCTCTAGCATGACACTGACCCAGATCAAACGCCAGGAGATGGATTCCCAGGTACGATCCCCGCTTCTGAGTGCACTGTTCTGTTGCCGGTGACGTCACCCCCAAATCTTGTCCCCATGGAGAGAAGCCAGTGGGGGGAGAGTCTTGGGGAGGAAACAAACACGGACGGACAGCCGCCCGGGAATGAATGCCAATGATGCTGGAAGGGACAGTGGAGGCGGCGGCAGATGACGGGTTAAGATCAGAATCTTAACTCTTGCTCCCTAATGCCCCTCTCAACGTTACCATCAGGGATTTCCTAGCCGACATCAACGAGCATTTAATGTCTTGTGATTGACAATTTTTTCATTGTAGTTGACATCTAACGGTACATTAGTTTCAGGCATACATGTAGCGACAATTCCATGTATGGTCCCCATCTGTCACCATGCAACATCATGACAATATTTTGTTAATGACAATATTATTGACTATATTCCCTATGCCTATGACTTATTTTTCTCATAACTGGAATCCCGTACCTCTTAATACCGTTTCCCTGCTGCACCCATCCCTCCGCCCGCTTCCCCTCTGACAGCCACTAGTTTGTCCATTTCTGCTTTTTTTGTTTTTCAGCAGTTATTTTTTTTTTTTAAACTTCTGCTATGAATTATTTGTGTATGACCTCTGGTTTAAAAAAGAAAAATCAATTCACTGAGAACCCATCAAAAGACAATGCCATTATCTCCAATTGTTCAGTAAAGTTATGGCATGCAAAGGAATAGGAATCCATGGAACCCTGAAAAAAACCCTGACATCCTTGTTTTAGAATGACTGGTCCCAGGGGTGCCTGGGTGGTTCAGTCGGTTAAGCATCCAACTTTCGTTCAGGTTATGATCTCACAGCTCGTGAGTTTGAGTCCCACAATGGGCTCTGTGCTGACAGCTCAGAGCCTGGAGCCTGCTTCAGATTCTGTGTCTCCCTCTCTCTACACCCCACCCCTGCTCATACTCTGCCTCTCTGTCCTTAAAAAAAGAATTACTGGTCTCAGTCTTGGAGTAAAGTCCAGGTTGAAGACCGTTAAAGGCTCTGTATGTGTCTCTCGACATCTTTTAGAAAAAGTCATATGGCCAAATACTGGAAGACCTGAGGTCAGGCTTGAGTCTACACTGTCTACACTGTCTTGCTTACTGGTCTCATCCAGCCCCGCTTGACTGCAGATCCCATCTGTATGCTGATGAGTACCAGAGCCTTTTCCCTGGCCTCAATCTTTTCCTTGAGCTCTGTGTTTGTCCAACTGCCTACTTGATCCCTCCACATGATGCCAAATACATCTCTAATTGAATGGGTCCAAACCAGGGCTACTGGTTTCCTTCCCACTCAGATCTGTCCCTCCCCTGTTTTCTCCATCTCAGTAACTGGAACCCCCCCCCCAGACCTGGATGGCGGAGACCTAGGAGGCATCCTTGGGTCCTCTCTTCTCCCTCTTCCTTCTACATCCAGTCCCCCAGCAGGTCCTGTCAACTGTGACTCTCCTGGCCTGAACCTTCCCCCTTTTCTCCATTTCCCTAACCCAGCCTAAGCCACCACTGGTTCTCTCCAGAACTACTGCAAAAGCAATTTAACTGTAACTTATGCAAGTGTTTGTTTCCAAGTAGTTTTGTGGAGGGGCCAGGGAGGTGGGGCAGTTGGGGTGGAGAATAGGAAAGGGTGTTGCTGAGACAGGTCCAGCCCTGGGTTGACAGTTGGCAGAACTTGGTGAAGGCACACGATGGAGTTCGCCATATCATCTCCATTTCTCTGTATATGTTCTCCATTTTGCATAATCAAAAATTTGAAAAGAAAAAAAAGGAACCACCTAACCGGGCTTCATTGCTTCCACTCTTGCCCCCTACAGTTTGTTCAGGTTCCACATATTTTATTTTATTTCTTTCTTTCTTTCTTTATTTTAAGTTTAGTTATTTTGAGAGAGAGAGCGAGCGAGCACACACGCATGTGAGCAGGGTGGCAGTGGGGGGGCAGAGAGAGCTGGAGAGAGAGAACCCCAAGCAGGCTCCGCACTGTCAGTGCAGAGCCCAACATAGGGCTTGAACTCACGAACTGTGAGATCGTGACCTGAGCTGAAATCAAAAGTCAGACGCTTAACTGACTTGAGCCGCCCAGGTGCCCCAATTTTACATATTTTAAAAGCGTAAATAACATCACTTTATGTCCCTTGCTTAAAATCTTCCAACGGCTTTCCTTTCACACTTGAGTTAAAACCCAAATTCCTGACCCCAGCCCGGGGCCCTGGGCTGTTTTTCCACGCATCTCCCATGGCCCTCTCCCTCTCCCAACCTCCTTCCTGCCTGAGTAGCCTTTGCTGAGCACCCTTTGCCCTTATCACATGACCCTGTGTCACTTTCGCTATGGGTCTGATCTATTCTTGTTCATGAGTTTGTGTCTTTGCCCTGCAGGGTAAGCAGAGACCTTGTCCATGCACCACTGTGTCTCCAGCACCTGCCGCAGAACCCCGGGGTACATGATGGGTGCTCAGCTCAGCAAATGTTTCTTGAATTAATAAATTAATTAATAAAATAACTAGAATTAATGAGGGGTAGGGATAGCCAGGGACCAGCCTTTTCCTTGGGAAGATTGTGCTTTTTCCTGTATAATAATAACCCTAAGTTGGACCAGCCCTTCAGAGATACCAGGGCCATCAGAGCTGGCTCTTGCCTGGATTTCCAGGAAAGCGGGATTGAAAGAGAAGGGGGATTTGGTTGGAACATGCCACACGGATGGGCTACACATTGGAGATGCTTTCAGATAGAGATTTCAGAGGAGCACGTTATGAGCCCTACTCCCAACAGGCTTTGGGGCTATAAGGCATCAGGTCCAGTAGAGGGCCCCAGTGAGGAACAAGAGGAGCCACTGGGATAGACTGGTGGATGGCAGAGGGTGGGGAAATCCACAGACCCGAGGATGAAATTGAGAACCAGGTACACTATGGAAACGGGGTGAATAACCCAAAGGACGAAGAGACCCGGAACATGGAGGAGAGGGACTGAGTTAACACGAGACCGCTGTCCGGTTGCTGCTCAAGAGCACATTCCACTCTTCCCACAGGTCCGGGTGCTGGAGCTGGAGAATGAACTGCAGAAGGAGCGTCAAAAACTGGGAGAGCTTCGGAAAAAGCACTACGAGCTCGCCGGTGTTGCCGAGGGCTGGGAAGAAGGTGGGCCTCTCTGAGCGCGGTGAGGGCACGGTGAGGGGAGAGTGCACGTCCCCTTAGATGTGACCGAATGAGGCGCCCTTCAGGCCACTGACTTTCCCCCTCACGACTCACAGAGCGTGTTTTCTCTGCAGTTGTAGATAACCTCCAAGCCCAGAACTGCCATAAATTGTGGCGAATCGAGAGCTTTGGGCGTCACCTGTCAAGACCTTAACCTTGACCAGTGGGCTCATCACCCACTCACCACTGTTCCCTTCCAGGCCCAGTTAGCCTGGTTTCCGGCCCAGCAGTTTCCTGTGTGGCTTGCACAGAGTTGAACACTGAATGAAAAAATGGCGGCCAGCAGGCAGGGCAAGTGGATCACAGGCCTCTCGCTGACCAGGGTCAGCAGTGGGCACCAGTGGCCGCGCCGTAGACAGGGTCAAGAGCTAGAAATGGAGTGGAGTAGGGGTACTGTCAGGCCCACCCGCCCAGAGAGGCTTTATCGCCTGGAATGTACTGCTCTCCCACGTGCCTAACGCGGCCAACTTGATCACAACCAGGACTGCCAACCCTCGTCGTCTTGTCTGCGGGAACCAACCACAGATGCATACCACTCATGGTCGGGCACCTAACTTGGGGAATAGATGCCTGTGAGCATGAGGTATTTTAGAGCCTAACGTTGGTCGCCGTACCTGTTGGGTACATGAACGCGTGCACATGCGACGCGCTATGAAACAGAAATTACCGTTGTCTTTCAGGAACAGAAGCATCGCCACCAGCACTGCACGAAGCGGTCACCGGAAAAGAATAGAGCCACACCGACACCCCACACGTCTGAGTGTAAATCTTGTTGCAGTCTCTGTGTGTTATTCCCCAGCCACAGCCTAAGCCCCCGGGGGTCCCGGCGGCAGCCACACCGCTCACCGCTCCCGTTGTCCAGAGCCGGGGACCCGAATGGCCTTCCACAGAGGAGGGGGACCAGGGCCGCCCCCGCGGAGAGGCCCTCCCTCCCAGTCCTGCCTGCTGTTTGACCCCCCCCCCCCCC